AAAACAATGGTATTGAAAGATGGCTTTCATCTTCGGCCAATCCCTAACACATTGTGCGACTTTTTTTTGTCCCCACGTTTTTGCGATCTGGCTAAGGAGGCTGTACAGTCGTACGCAAAGTGAGATGATATACTGAACGTTACTTTCTATTAGTAATATACGGAGGTGTGACGCAGTTGGAAAGTTCAAAAGTGTTTAAGAATAAAGGCTCAAGTGGAAAGCTATATCATGCGATTCGAAACGCGATATTCACAATTGTACATTGGAACTAATCACTGAATAAACATACATTCGGCGTTTCCTCTCATATTCTTCAAGATCGTACTTTATCGTGACTCGGGCCTGTACTTCACGCTGATGACTGAGGGTGCCGAAATCAAGAGGAATTATTCAAGCTCGCTCATGACCACGCCATAAGTCTTGCTTAGAATTTGTGGTAGTTTTAGGACTCAGACGATAATCTGCTCATTTATTCTCATGCCGTCTCCTGAAAATAATCTCCCAACATTAGAAAGTGACGCTTCCTTTGACGTGTCATGGCGACCACTCTTAGAAAATTTGGAAGTGTTCACTTCTTTACCATTTCGGGCAGGACGTACCGCAGAAGTTGCAATAAAATAACGATTGCTTTCATATAAAAAATGCTGAAATTGACAAAATTGCACCCAGACGTCCATTCAAGTTTGTCTTAATTCACTCCTAATGATGTTTGCTTATTGCCATCATTGCTGGAAAAGATACCCAGTGATCACTTATAGCTTGTACCACGAAAAAGAAAAAGTTAACGCAGCAACCCAAAGTACACGCGGGGAATGGTAACCTGGGATATGGACTGTTCGTTTCACCCGCCACAGTGGTTTAATGGTTATAATACTCACGTGCTGACCCGCAGTTTGTGGGATCTAATTCCGGCAACGGGGTCGCATTTTCGATGGAGGCGAAGATGCTAGAGCCCTGTGTACTTAGATTTAGGTGCTCGTCGAAAAACCCTATGTGATCAAATTTCGGGAGCGCTTCACTACAGCACCTTTCATAATCATATCGTGGTTTTGGGACGTTAAACCATTACAATTGTTTTATTAAAAATGTTCATTTCAAATCCAGGCCAACTCTGAGGACTTATGATGAAAGTTGTAATAATTGAACTTTATCTTGTTACAGAGTAGTCAATGTGAAAAACTCGTGCAACGCGGCTATAAAAATAAAGTTAAATTACGCGTATAAGACTACAACGGCCAACCCTTTCCCCCGCTTTATTAGAACAATAAAAAAAGACGCATGTTGTCACACCTGAATTTATGCCACACTATATACCTGTGCTCGTGAAAAACATTAACATTCAGGCGCCTTGAGGGCGATGGTGTTCAGCTGCCCCTTTAAATTTTTTTATGAAATGTCAAACTTGGATACCTATCGAGGCTGAGGGTATATCTTGTTATAATGGACCCATTCGTGCATTATTTACTGCCATCTTTCTTCAATGTCGCTCCTGCTATCAGCATTATGGTCTCCTATAAGGGTGCCCTTAAATTTCTCTCATACCAAGTCCGTCTCTTGGGATTTGTTACCGCCTTTAAAAACCGAGGTGCCGGCCTCAATTTCGCACCGTGATGCCTATCAGTGTTCACCTTGCTTCCAGATATCTATATTTCACGTCAGCTTATATTATTTTATAAGGACTCTCAGCTTTATGTACCAGGTGAATATAAACAGCACAGACGAAACTAAAGCATAGCAGGGCAGAGTGTTGAGGGACTAAAGATGCTAGGCACGCTGCCTGGGCCTGAAGTTTTATCTTGTTCACAGAAATAGCAAGGAGGCGTTACTTCTCGTGTTGCCAGAGAGAGATAAGAAGGAAGTAAGGCATAGAGGTTAACCAGAAGCTGTTGCTCGGGCAGCAGTTATCTCGTGACTAGCTACGAAACAGGAGCCCTTCACAAGCGATGCTCCAGCGATGAGTTGCTTTATGACGCGTCACCGCACCCTCCACTTATGGGGAGAGAGAACAAGAAGCTTCGCGTAGCTACGCGCAATCTCTTTCCAAAGGAAGAGGTTGTTGCGGCGAGTGAAAAAGAAACGGGCTGACACGCTGCGACGCGTACATGCCTTTAGGGACCTTACTGAAAACTTCTTTTCCTTAAAAGCGTGCTTCTCCGCTATAATAGTGTTTACGAGGAGAAGCAAACTTCAAAGCAGCAGAGTATTTTTCAGGTAAAACTGGCACAACAATCGTAATCAGTGCGGGAAAATAGGCGCAGTAGTCGTGGGAGCCTCATAATTTCCATGTGTACCTTGATATCCGCTGTGTGTCTGAACGGAATTCCGTAGAAATTCAGTCAATATACATCCTAATTTACTTTGTGATGAGGAAGAATTGGGTTAAGTGTGATTGTGAATTGAATAGCGAGTTCCAGCATCGATTTAAATTGATGCTATTTTATAACCTATAGAGTGCAACAGCTGACCATTCAGGGCTGTCACGTGTGAGTAGTCAGGTGGCTTTAGCAGAGACGTCACGTCTGACCTCACTCGTAGAGCAGCTCGTCGCTATAGACTCTGTCATAATGGTGATGACGGTTACATAGTCAGAACCACGTGACGATCAGTGTATTACCATCTGTGTTTAAAAGTAAATCAGTGTTTTGTTTTCACTTCATTCCAATCGAAATACAGCTGCCGTTATCGGGAATAAATGCCCGCGTCCTTCACTTTGACAGAACAACACATGAGCCTTTATGCTAGAGAACACAGAGGTTATACTGCATGGTGATATTTACCTTTTCTACAAAAGCAGGATCGACTGAACAGCTTGTCCTGAGGCTCGATAGGAATATCTATTTTCACTTCATAAGTTAACTGCACTATTAGAAGAATCTGCTGATTGCTGACACATGTAGGTTAGTTAGCGATTGATTGCTATGGGGGGTTTAACGTCTGAAAACCACCATATGATTATGAGAGACACCGTAGTGGAGGGTTCCAAAAATTTCGACCATTTAGGGTTCTTTAACATGCACCCAAATCTGAGCACACGGGCCTACGTCATTTTCGCCTCCAACAGAAATGCAGCCGCCGCAACCGAAATTTGATCCCGGGACCTGCGGGTCAGCAGCCGAGTACCTTAGCCAGTAGGTAGGTGACTCCGTGCTGCAAGCATTTAGACGGTTCCGCCCTTCCCGAATTAGGCACTGTTCTTTTATAATGTTCATGAACCAAGTAGTCTAAGAGTCTTGTACATTAAAGTGCTTCATGCTTAATTAAGATGCAGTTGTTTGCCGAACTAGCCTTCGATGCCGAACTTCTTGTTGTATGCGTTTCATTGTCTCGGCAGTACTCATGGACCTATTCGGAAGAAGTGGCGTTTGTCGCTTGGCTAGTTGACGCATACATCGCAGGGAAACTACCTAGGTATGGTGATTCAAAGAAAACAAAAACAATGAAGATGTATGCACGAAAGAATGTGGACATGAGAAAGATGAGTGCAAGAAGTTAACTGTGCCATTGTTTCCCTCAGGAGGGTTGAAAATTGGGGCTTTTTGTTAAAATATAGTCGAATAAAATTGCTCTGCTTGAAAACTACACAGGTCACACCACACTAGCGCCTGCGTCGTATGTCTTCTTTTTCGCTGCTTGTTGAAAGAGCGTATTTTCTTCGACTATATTCCCTATAACTTTAATCGAAATAATTCACCTTTTCATTTTTTTTTACGCTAACCAGCAAAAAAAAAAGCTCGTACCTGTTTGTGTGTTATGATGCGATTTTATAAGACATTTATGCTTTTTCAGCTCCGTTCTTGTCGACCAACCCTAAATTTTTCTCAACAGAAACAGCAGTTTATTTATCAGCAAACCGGCAGATATCATCAATACATCAAATGAGATTCAATCGAACCCGAAGGTAACAAATTGAACATAAAGCGTCAATCAAAACGAAAACACCACATTAGCATAGGACCTCATAGTCTTAAACATAGCGGCAGTATTAATGAGAAGTATCGTATCTCTGCCGTGCGTAGGAGGCAAACTTTAGGTAGGCATACTGGTGGGTTTGTCTGTATGTAACTGATAGTGGGGAAGAGACAATGTGCTTAGTGTGAAGCACTTAGAGGGACCGACAACAGGCGAGAACATGTGTTTATATTCTGGAGGAAGTGAAAATACTGTGTAAAGCAGTGACAGAGACAAGCGTGATATTCGCGGCTTTAGTGTGATTATATCTTCAAATTGCTTATACATGTGACAAAAAACTCCGTATACCACATAACGTAGCGCCAAAACCTTTATGCTATGCGGAGCTGCTTTTACCACTTCTGTTATAAAGGGGAAATAAACGCTTCGCGCATCCCTTCCCCTCGAAATTTTCTCATGCTTTAATTACCTTTGACCTGATACTAAAATATGTTCTGCTACCCCCCCCCCCCACACGCACACGCACGCACGCAAGCCCACCTTTTGAAGAAGATATTTGTTTACGGCTCTGGCTTTTATGCGTGAAAGAATTCGTGGTCAAAATCGAAGCATGTGTACTATCTCTACTCCCTCTGTTCAGTGCTGCTTATGAGGCAAAATGAGTTGGCTCAAGGAAGCGGCGCTACCTCGGCGGTTAGCTGTTAGCACATACTGGTCCACAGTGCATCTGCGCTGAAAGCACGCATGTATAATCCACAATGCATAATCGCAAACTCAAGTTCTCACCTTCATTTGATTGCAGCACGTGGTATGTGTACACGACTTTGTACTCCCTGTGGATAGAAAACAATTTAGAAAAAAATTTAATATATATATGTGACTGCGTTTTCCGGGCTCCGCGTTGTGCAAAAAAAATGTCACCGTAAGAATCGGTTGTCGGTCCCTGTAACTACGACATAAAAGGAGAGCTAGGTACAGCGATCTTTCAACAAACACGGCACACTTGGTGAAAAATCGAAGGCGTGAGTACATCGAAGGTGGCACATTGATAAGGTAGCTAAGCGTGACGCGCACTGCACGAGTAAATGGTGTCAGCTGCACAAAACGTCCGCAGTGAAGTAAGCCTTGTGTTCAGCGTGCTTTAGGACCGCAGCGGCGTTCAGAAGCCGTGATCTCCTCCGGTGGTACTTGAACCACAGCGCCGCTCCAGTGACCGCCGCTACGCCTAACGTGGCGGCCGCAGCTACGCAGACTATGACGAGGACCGTTGTGTCGTTTAAAGGAAGCGTGGAGGTGTCCTCTGTAGATTCCAGCTCTGCGGAAAAAACAAGGCGAAGTGAAATGCGTTGGGATAGTCAGAGAAGACAATCAAATATGCACAAATGGACAGCTTAAGCATGCGCTAAACGTAAATGTTAACTCCGACACGAAAAAAAAAGACACAAGATGTCACATGGCTCCTTGCACCCAAGACGAGGGAGATAATAATTGAATTGTTTACCGCTACTGATTTTTCTCAATTTCTGCTCCGATGTAAAGTTTTAATGCAGGTTTGTTGGTATATATTTAACTTTAGATAAACAGTGCTTCAACAAACAAGTGGCTCTTGGTCCTGTACCTTCCTTCTTTGCCCTGTCGTGCTGTTTATCCGGAACCCCTTCTCCCCGCAATCATTCTGCAGGTAGCGGGGTTTTGGAGCACTGCTTCCGAGGTAGGCCCACGTTTCACTAAGCAACTATGCCACGTCATAAAGTGATGTTACGCTAACGTCATAACAACGCAAACTTTTGGGCCTCTGGCATCACGGTGACCTCGTCTTTTTGTGATGAGTTTTCGCAACACTTCGGGTCGGCACTGACACCAATATCGTCAAAAAGTTCCTTTGTGCTATTTTACATCTCATTTCCAAAATAAATTAGGCTGAACATCTCATGAACTGATATATCTCAGAAAAATACTTGTACCTGCGCCTCATACTCAGCGACATCGCATTTTAACATTCTTGTTCAGATTACTAGAAGACATCATTTAATACACAAACTTACAACCTCGCCATCTTTTGAAGACAAGCAGGTGTCACGATCGTAGCATTTCTTGTTTTGTTTCCTTCCCTTTTCTAGCTTTCCTCTTCCTCCTCCTAGGGCCTCTTTATTCTCAATTCCTTTCTTTTATAAAGAGCAGCGTGGAGGTGTTTTACAAGCACCAGAAAAATTCAGTTTTTTTCATTAAATAGTTCTATTTCTTTCTCTCTTTTCCGCTTGTCGTCGGCTCTACTTTATTAAACTTCATATATCCCACATGTTCTCGGAGCACCAAATAAACATAGTGCGGTTATAGCGCCAGAAGTGTAACACCAAAGTATACCATTCCCGGGGACGGTATGATTGTGATGTTTATTTACACGCTATTACACGGAATAGGAAAACCTTATTTATGTCCGCGGGGGCGTGAAAGAGCACGTAGCGGGCCACTCCCACGTCGGGACAGGTAGGTCTAACCTGTCCGCCACGTCGTGGGTCCATTGAACAGCCCATATATAACGGCGTCCTTAAATCCCCACTGCCTAGCGCATCATCCTACTTTGACGATGAAACGTTTTCAATCCGTGTTGCAGAATTCCTTTGTTGAAGCTCATACATGTCTTGTGGCACGTTCCTTACCCATCACAATATACAGCACTGCGAAAAGCACCTCAACTGGACTCAATCGGATTCAGACTCACCAAAAATTAACCTCCACTATACTCACCCAGGTTCATGCTCACGACTCCATCCGAGTTCGAGTGAGTGGACACACGAGTAAGTTTGCTGACTCAAAGTACGACGCATCTCGACAGATGAACGATGGAGCTGCGTATTTCGGCTTCGCTTATTGGAGTTCTTTCCGGAGTGCTTGGGTGACGATTGTTATTGTTTAATGCAAACGCTTCAGACGCCTGACACGATATTGACACGATCACATGCCATCAGCATCGTCAAAGGTGCCATACCATGTTACGTGCACAAAGCCTTTAGAACAGTGCGGGTGAAAACGAATTTATCCATTTAAAAGAAGAATCTAAGGCATAATAACTATTTATTTGTTTATTTATTTTTGTAAATAAGTTAGGTACCTTCGCGTTCAATGAGAGTCTGGGTGGGCACCAGAGTTCTGACGTAAGTGGCGAACGCGTTCGCTTCCATCTCCAGCTTCACCAGCACCAGGTATTCCGTTGCCGGTTTGAGACCGGTCAAGGAGAGCTGGTCCCTGCCAATCTCGGTAGTGGTGACCCAGAATCCACGCACCGACCGATTTCCCGTTGTCGCGTCGAACAGGTCGACGCGTAGTCGAGTCTTGGTCGCTTTCACTCCGCCGTCCTCGCCACTCCAGACACGACCTTGTCGACGAGAACACGTGATGGAGAAAGAGGTGTCCGTGTAGTTTCCCACGGCGCAGTCTAGGCTGGATGCTCGCCCACCTGCAAGACATGCCGAACAACCTAAAGGACACGGATGTGCGAACGCCAGCAGCGCCTTACCCCAAGTCATGTAAAGGGGGGGGGGGGGGGTGCCAATGCTGCCAATGCTGCCTCACAGCGTCACTCAGAGGGTGCATTGACGTCATGTTTTATTGCACTGGATAATCACCAAGCAATTTTTTTGAATAATAGGAACCAATAAAACGGCGATGTTGCATTGCAAAAACTAAAAACTGTGATTTATTGATATGAAGGGTTTAACGTCCCAAAACAACCATATGATTATGAGAGACACCGTAGTGGAGGGCTCCGAAATTTTGACCACCTGGGGTTCTTTAACGTGCACCCAAATCTGAGCACACGGGCCTACAACATTTCCGCCTCCATCGAAAATGCAGCCGCTGCAGCCGGAAATCGAACCCGCGACCTGCGGGTCAGCAGCCGAGTACCTTAGCCACTAGATCACCGCGGCGGGGCATTAGCGATATTGTAGTCATCTAGCTTGGACAATACAGCAGGTGGCTTTAGAAACTGCATTGTGTAGGTATCTGATCCTCGGAGGATAGAACCTGGTGTGTCCGTTAGCCTGCAATAATTGCTAACAGGCAGAGACACTACGATAACTACACGCATGGTCTAATTATGATACATTTCAACGTGACCTTACGCATCAGTGATCGCACACAGGTACAAAAGGCTGCCTTTAAATACGTTTTCACCTGACTCCAGATGCCATTCCAGTGATCGTGAGTATACTTCCTTTGAGTCGAAATCGATTTAACATGAAGCGTCAATATCAAACGCAAAGCGGGACTACATGTAGGCGGGCAAACACAGGCGCTGCGAATTTCACAAAATATTTTAATGATTACATCGGTGATACAAAAGTGTCAATCTGGCTAAAGTAACGTGTTTCACCGCTATTAATTCAGGATAAAAATTCCGAACTTTCCGGACGTTCACTTCACTTGCGCGTTTGAAACGTTTAGGAGGATATTACAGTATATAGCATGCAGTCAGTTGTGAGGAGCAGCGTGTGTACTTTTTCTATTTGCGTTGTATAACAGCATTTTTTCATAATATAAATAGTAAAACTAGAACAGGCGATGAGTGACAAACAGTATTATAAGCTTGAATGGCTCTCTAGTGTGTTTTGTTTAGCTACCTGAATTTTAAGCACCAATGTTCCGCGATGAGGAAGCCGGCGTGTTTTAGTTGACCTTTAGGTATTTTGAACGCAGAGTAAAGATGCACACTTGATGCTGAAGCGTTCTCATAGCTGCAAAGCAGACCACAAGGACTCAATGGAAGTAATGCTTCCTCTCGTTCACTGTAGAAGGTAGTGACGCCGAAAAAAGTTACAAAATTGGCGGGAGACAAACACCCCCCTCCCCCCGAAAAAAAATTTCCACTGAGCGTACAATCGTAAGAGAGATTGACAGTGTTATCTGCGTTATCAGCACGTGTCCGTCGTGCGCACCATGGTGAAATAACAATCCATGTTTCCTCTGTTCTGCAACGAAAGAGTACAATTTTCTAGAGTTACGACATGCGCCAACGTTTTAAGCACTTCAGTCATTGCTTGTGCGTACACCAGCAGCGCCTTATCCCAAGTCATGTAAAGGGGGGGGGGGGCACCAATGCTGCCTGACAGCTTCACTCAGATGGTCCATTCAAGTAAGGTTTATTGCGCAGGATCATCACTAAGCACTTTTTTTTTTAAAAATAGGGACCAATAAAACCGCGATGTTGCATTGTAAAATCTGAAGACTGTGTATAGGGTCCACCACGTATAAGTGCTATACCACATAAGTATCCAATCCGGTAAAGATAGAATATAAATTTTATGTCGAAAAAAGAATTGTCCACTCTGTAAAGTGTAAACACAGTGTCGATAAACATATTCTTAATTTTCCGAATGATGGCTTGCATTGTTCTATGAGGTCTTGAATGCGAATCGAGGTCTTCACGTTACCTGTGTGCGACCCTGTACCTTCCACCTCTACCCCCCCACCCTCCAAGTCGGGTACAAACGGCAGGTATTTGTGGGAAGGACATCACTTCATTTTCACGTTTCCCATATTGCGGAGCTTTGTTTGTTTCAGTCTCGACCAAACGGTGAAGAAGGGGGGGGGGGGGGGGGCTGTGGCCAAACTTGGTCATCCTCAATGAGGAAGCCTGAGCATGCTTATCTTTAAGAAGTCATTGACAAACCCGTCGGGCTTAGTGAGAAAACACACGCTGCGGAAAGCAGGCACTCTCGTGAACAGCTCCCCAAATGTTACGGTCATGCCAGGAAAGGAGCGTAAGAAGTGAAGCGCGAAGTTACTGAAAAACTTTTCAGTTTCCAGCACCGATTGTTCGACGTTACATGATAGACAGCATGCTATTGGCTGTTAGCCGGCATGAACCAAGAGGGGCGTTTAATAACAGATATGCTTCCTTCGTATAGTTGAAATCAAAAAGAAATGGGCGTGGGCCAGACACGTAGTGCTTACGCAGGACAAACGCTGGTCATTAAGAGTAACTGACTTGATTCCCAGAGAAGGCAAGCAGGTGAGGGGGAGACAGAACGTTAGGTGGACAGAGGAGATTAGCAAGTTTGCGTGTATAAAGCTGCAGCAGTAAGCACAGGACCGAAGGTACTGGCGAAACATGGGAGAGGCCGTGGTCTTGCAGGCCGGCGCCATGCTTCAGATTGGGCTGACGTAACACTCTAGCTCCACTTGCGCGTGCAGAAATCACAAACGGAAAGAGTGATCATCTTTCATCAAGCGTGTTGCATGATGCATTGATGTTCATGGTGTACTCACGTATCTTCCTTTCGCAGGCCGTTCCTGCTTGTGAAGCTTCCTGCATGCTTGTTGGGACTAAAGTGAGAAAGCGTCCTAAATCAATCGATAAATTCTCTAGATCTGCTCGTTCTTGAATTCAAAAAATTTTGTGGCGCTCAGTTTGCGTAGCAATGCTGGTGGTCATTGGTCAATTACTTGGAAAAAAGTAGCCCAGGATCCCTTGTAATGATTTGGTCATTCCTAGGTCCACTTTCTGAGAGCTATCTTTTAACTTTGTCGTACCGTAATATCGCGTAAAACGCTGAATCTTTTGTTGCAACAAGTATGGAGCGTCGGTGAACGTTGAACATCTAAGTAATTCGCTAAACAACATAATTATATTTAGCTCCACGTAACTGTCAACATTCTAGAAGCCTTCATTTAACACCTACAGACACTGGTACGCTCAAACGAGTTCATTCACTCACTGACCACCAGCACCACCACCACCACACCACTTCCACGGTATTTTTAGTTTTGCATGTGTTTGTGTATAAAGGCACTCGCAAACGTAAATACACAGTGAGTCAGTCAGCTTCGTCAAGTCACTTGTGTGGATTTTAGCTCGTACCTTGCCTTCTTACAAAGAAAAAGAAAGAAAATGAAGGAATGAACGAATAGGTGACAGTTATCTCCTCCCTCTTTACAACTCACTTTCCGGAAGAAGTACATAGCTTCGCTTCTGTATACACGCATGCAGTGGATATCACTATAGACCGAGTTGACAAGGCAGTATTGCTTGATTGGGAAAACAAATAGTTGTTTTAACAAAATGAAGAATAGACTTCAGAATTTGACATGTCTTACGTCGTAACTGAAACCGGTGCCTGCAAGGCTCGCGCTGCGTTCCCACAGCGTTCCTCGCCCAGCAGAGCAGCGTCGCGTGGAACCAGTGGGCATCGATGAAGACTTCAAGCTGGTTCGATCTCCGCAGTTCCGCAAGTCGTTCTCCCGACTGGGCGTCCTGGGGGTCGGGGGTGGCGCCCTCCGTCCTCGTCACGTGGCGTCTCTCGCCGGCGTTGTCTTCGGCAATCCAAAAGAAGTGCAACCCTTCATCTGGATCTGCACTCACGTCGCAGGTCACGTTTACTTGCTCCTTAGGCCTCACCGCCAGGACCTTGTTTCGACGAGCCCTGCAACGTGGCGCATCTGTAACAAGCAAGATGGTGGGTTTCAACTAGCCCGTTTTATGTTAAACTTCGGAGTTTGCCGCGAAGATAATGCGGAAGAAACGAGAAAAGACAAAGAAAAGCGACAACTTTGCGTTAACGTTTCTTAATGGGAAAGCTCGGATGCCTAACCAATCCCGAAGCTTTACCGTCGGCGTCAACAAGAACGATGCAAGAAGTCACTACAACGCTAAGACGTCCCCATATGACATCACGCTTGATCTGTGATGTTGTGATGACATCACAGGCCAACAAAGTTTCTGCCGCTACCATGACATGCACGGTTACAAGTGACGTCAAATAAGGACGTCGGCGCATGACGTATCCTGGTGAAAAGTGGGTTGATTGCAGATGCAGTGCAAAGCGAGGTTACGTATAAAGCTCTGGGATTTGAAAGAGGAAGACGACAGAGCTGAGACGTCACAATGATTTCATACTGCCACGCGTTTTTTATTTCAGTTTTGGTGTATTCGGTTTTGGCATACAAAGACCACACTGAGCACAGCAAGCAGGGCTCAGCGCAAACCACGCCTACAGTGTTCGAGAAGCTTCAGGACTGTACTAGATCATTTTGTTAGGATGGCGTGCATGACGCGAACACTATGGACTATTCTGGAAACTACGTGGCCGCTAGCGATAGTGCTGGAGTATTCGATGGCACATGTAATAAAGCCGAAGCCCATCACCGCTTGTCAGTTAATCGACGGCCGATGATCTGTTCACCGCTATCAGTGCCAGTGTGTAACACTATAGTCTGACCATCAGTTTCCCGGCCACAACTTCGGCCAAACAAACAGTTTCTGCTTTGACAAACCGACTGTGACACGTCCACTACGTGGCAACATGGTGACACCATCGCGTGGTCATAATTTTTTCACCAGTCGTGCTGGTATCAACGCCCCTAAACGCCAATTGTCAATATCCGACTTTTACCGAGCGTCCAAGGATTTTGCCTCAAAACCCGCTGACATGAAAACATTCATCCAACTACCTGCACCATTGAGGCGCATATTTTTTAGCGTTAGTGATGACAACATTCAATTGCAAGGATAACGCTTGTACAGAAAGTAAGTCCCGCGCATACCAGTGCTCCTGGTATTTGAGGCAGGACACGGCGCACTCACGTCTGACTCGAAGTTCCAGTGGAATGCTCTCCACACTCTCGCCATCAGCGGTGTGGGCCGTGCAGGTGTATTGTCCAGACTGTTCGGCGGTCACTCCTCGGATAACCAGGTAGCGAGACGTGACAAAAGCATTTGACAGACCATCGCCACCAGCGAGACCCTTCATCTGCGTTCCCTCGTGGCGCCAGCTGACATCGATGACCTTGGAAGCCGCGAGTACCGAGCACTCCATGTAGACATCGGAACCTTCAGCGATGTGGCTGGCGTTGATGCCCACCCCAAAGCGAATGGCAACCTCCGTTTTGTCTGTGACGTGGTAATGTCGGGTGATTGAAAGGCGTAATATATAATGTCACTACAAAGTTTCTTGTTCAAGAAATCAATGCGGATTTTAAGGTTCTACAAAGTTTCTTGTTCAAGAAATCAATGCGGATTTCAAGGTTCACCAGTTCTCTTGCTAAACTGCACATCGGGACAGAATCTACACTTGGGCTAGTTGGGTGAGTTGCGTGGTATAACTATGGCTTAAGTACATGAGGAAAGACACAAAGAAACGTGTTCCTTTGTGTTTTTCTTTATGCGCTTAAACCAGTGTTATACCATGGACATTGGGTTGGTAGTGATGCTGTAATCGGTGATCGAATCTATCAATTCAATGCCAAGGCTGAAAATCTGGTGAAATAGATTAGAGAGATTTCAAAAAACACTGACTACAACAGCCATGCACGCAGTAACAATGTAATAATAATGCATGCAGGATAAATGCATGCAGCAAACATGCACCCCTCAGTGATGCACAACAAAATAATGCACACATGATCAATACACACAGAGTGAATATTAGTAGCAACGAGAACGGAAACTTGAGAAAGGAAGCTGGCTTAGAACCAAATCCGTAGGACTTATTGTCAGCATGTAAGCAAGCATCTTTGTTTTTTGTCGGACATCCACGCAGAGGGTACTGCGTTCCGAATATAGAGTTCACAATTGTTTACCATGCCTCCTCACCTCCACCATAGTTTCCTATAAGTACACTGGAGAGAACCCTACAACTAGTATCTATGTGAGCTGCAATGCACGGCGCTTCAACAAGCATGGGACTGATGGGTAGTACACAAATTTGTCTAATATTCATACTTTCGGCTCCATATGGCTTCACGTAGATTGAAACTGCTTTGCCACGAGGCGACAATCAACAAATGCTCCGCAGTTGCATTTCACCATCTTACTTCTTTGATTTGACACAAAAGTCAAAACACAACACTTAACAAAGCCGCAAGCATGTTCGAAGGCCACGTGCACGAATTTGTGAAGTACCCAATATTTCATGGTCTCTGAACGATCGCAGCGCCAGAGTCCCCTCATCTTAATTTGAGAAACTCTATGTTCCCAACTCTAGCCCCGCCGCGGTGGTCTAGTGGCTAAGGTACTCGGCTGCTGACCCGCAGGTCGCGGGTTCAAATCCCGGCTGCAGCTGCTGCATTTCCGATGGAGGCGGAAATGTTGTAGGCCCGTGGGCTCACATTTGGGTGCACGTTAAAGAACTCCAGGTGGCCGAAATCTCCGGAGCCCTCCACTACAGCATCTCTCATATTCGTATGGTGGTTTTGGGACGTTAAACCCCACATATCTATCTATCTATCTATCTATCTATCTATCTATCTATCTATATCTATCTATCTATCTATCTATCTATCTATCTATCTATCTATCTATCTATCTATCTATCTATCTATCTATCTATCTATCTATCTATCTATCTATCTATCTATCTATGTATGTATCTATCTATGTATCTATGTATGTATCTATCTATCTATCTATGTATGTATCTATCTATATATCTATCTATCTATATATCTATGTATGTATATATCTATGTATCTATCTATGTATCTATCTATGTATGTATATATCTATGTATGTATATATCTATGTATATATCTATGTATCTATGTATGTATCTATCTATGTATGTATCTATATCTATATATCTATATATCTATATATCTATATATCTATATATCTATCTATGTATGTATCTATGTATGTATCTATGTATGTATGTATCTATATATCCATATATGTATCTATGTATGTATCTATGTATGTATGTATCTATATATCTATATATCTATATATCTATTCAATCAATCAATCAATCAATCATGTTCTCAACTCTATGCCATTTACTTACGCGACGTGTCCACCTTCAGGAAGCGGCTCAGCACGCCTCTGTTTTCGGGTAGGTTTCCGTTGATTGCCCGGCACTCCAGGAGCCGTCCTGACTGCGCGGAAGCCGGAAGTAGGAGGATGCTGGTGGTCGCGTTGCCCACGGACACGCTGCGACTGAGCTTCGGGTCTACCGCGACTCCGTCGAGGAACCACGTGACATTTGCCGCCGGTCGGCTTCCGCTAGCTTCGCACTCGAAGCTCTTGGTGTTGGAGAACCCAGACTGCGGGCCTAAGGTTATCGCAGCCGTGGCCTCGCGGTACGTGGCTTCTCGATCGAGCAGAGAAAGACCGGGTCCGGTCGTAGTAATTATGGGGGCAGATTTGTTTGGTAGCGGGTGTTGAGTGGCCCCAGTGAAAGATTCCACAGAGACTGCAGGGGTGTCAGTCTGGTGAGCAGGCCAGCTCCAGATGGTCACAGCCGTCGGAGCCACTGAGAAAAAAAGGTGAAAGCCGAAGGTTGTTGCGCCTATTAACGTCTCTAAAAAAAAACGATCCCTTAAATCAGATGCAACATTAAGCACAGAAAGCAATGAAGGCTTATAAAAAGAATTCCATTAAATTGAGGACAAGGCAGAGGGCCATCAAAATAAAAAGAATAGATATAAATTTAATGACGAGGGAGAGGAGCAGGTAAAAAAAACAAAGTGGCCTTAAGGACGTCTTCGTCAAAATAAGGAAGAAAAAAATGGCCGCCTCTCTACATGCTTCGCTGCAAACGTCGTTGAAAGGTGATTGTCTTCTGCCGGTGCATGTGCAAAACCCAGGGCCACTGCCAGGTGGCAGCCCCATATTGTCGGCAGAGGGCTTTTTCGTGCATGGCGTCACATTTTCAGCATAGCCTAAAAAACACTATAGTCTTTGTAGTTATGCATCTGTGTATTTTGTAGTAAACGAACACACCATCAAGTACTTGCGTAATAATATGTGCCTCAAATATGCGTAATATTTGGTTTTTCGTTGACTATATAAGTGTGAACGCAGCCACCAGTTCAAGATGGCTGGGCGTTTAGCAAGTGCCTGAACTTTGGCCAGGTGACTGAATCGTGGGACGGACAGACATAAAGACAGACGAAGCTGCGTTCCAGCATCCCATGAAAGACTATCGTCTTTAAAAATGTGAGAACCATCGGGTATGTGACAGCACGACTATTCTGTAGAAGCGCGCGGGCATTCCGGGCCACGCGCTTCTCTAGTCTGACTAGTGCAGTACGAAGTGAGTACAATCGCTGGTCAATAAAAGTAGCAGATCAGATTCCACGTAATGACAAGCGTGCTAAGGCAGGGAGAACGTTGCCTGGCCAGATGAGATCAAGAAGATTGCGGGGGCAACGTCGCCTTAGCAACCACGGGATTGGGTTAACAACTGGTGAAATACTTGGAATACGTTTTCGTTGCAATCAGTGTAATCAGGCTGATAATGACAACAAATTGAAGCGTTTGAATTGTCACCATCAGTATAACCTTATTGATTTTTGTTGTACTGCATAACGAACAAATCCTCCTAATATTTCCAGTTTACCGTATAGGAAGAGAAAAACGCAATCGTCAAATGTCGCATTGAGCTTACAAATCGTGTCTCTAGAGGCGCTGATGAAAAATACGCAAAACTAGACAAAAGACTTGATGTGCGAAGTGCTGAAGAAGTCGCCAAAAAATATAACTGTAGCGAACGCTTCGACTAGGCGGGTTGTCGTCTGTATGGTTTCATGAGAAATGACTCGTGACTGAGAATAAGTAGAAAGAAATTGAACAGCACATGTCGATGTCTTTTCATTATTATAACCAAGTGTTGCGTTACAGGCGCTGCATAAATAGTGGTAGATGCATGGGAGCCACACTTTTTGAAGAAAAAAAGGGTTACAAGCAGGTGCACTGCTCTACCACTAGAAAATTGTTCGTTTAATATTCACCAAGCCCGAAGCTGGACGGGAGAGCATCATTTATTGATTTGTCGTAGATGTGGGCTTCATGTGTCGTCTAGAAAGGCTCTGTCACTTCCGACAATGCGGCGTGGTGGTCTTCTTTAGCATCTTCATCAATTATTTGCATTCGCACAGTGCAATACATGGTGGTCATACAGCATGCTGCAGCTTTCATGTGGTTTCAAGTATCTTGTACCAATAAACCAGCGAAATCAGAACGTAGTCGGAGAAGCGAGTGACACATATATGCGAACACAGGCATTGCTCGCAATATAAAAAGTAAAGCACGGTTTCTTGGACCACTCACTAAAGAAGGCTCCTTCACTGCCATGAGTGAGCATGCATACACTCCAAGTATAAAAAAAATCACAGCATGACCACGGGGCGAATTGTGATAAGTGGGGCGAAGCCTCCGCCCATTCGTCCGTCCGTTCATCTGGATAAATGGGCAGATGGGTGCATGGACGGTTGCACGGATGGATGGAAGCAAGGACGGACGCATGAATGGACGTACAAAAGCACGGACGGACTGACAGACGGACGAACAGATGGACGGACGCACGGATGAAGGAACGCATGGATGGACAGGTGGAAGCACAGACGGACGGATGGATGGACAGAAATACGAACATACGGATGGACGCACAGAGGCATGTACGGACGAACGGACAGAAGCATGGATGGACAGACAGTCGGATGGACGATGGACGCACGGGCGCTTCGCCCCACTCATCATCATTCACTCCGGGGATATGCAGTCAAAAACCACTAATTCCATCTAGTTATATTTTTCCAAGGACAATTACACAGAACGCCATCTATGGAGCAGCTCTTAAACTAGAGGTGGCGGCATACTGCGACTACTACTACTACTACTACTACTACTACTACTATGGTGATGAGAACCGCCCACAGCCTAAGAATATAAAAACAGTGTGTGTTGCTCTTTTCAATCGGTCCTCATTTGCCACGTAAATCCCTCCCTATAAAGAGTTATATCACTTTTCTTGTGAGTGAGACGAGTCTGTCGACACTATAGTGATCTCCAAACAATGTTTAATGTTCTATTTATGGAGAGTTGTATACGTTTAAAGTCGGGAATTGCCAAAACGACTTAGTGGACTCTTTATTTCGTCTTAGTGTGATTTGAATGCAAGCCAGAGTTAAGCAGGGCATCACTTCGGCGCAAAAACTTCCAAAACAAAGAAAGTTTTTGTTTTCTCGTTTCGAAGGGACCTAGTGTGTTCAGAATATAAGTGAAATGCCACGCGTAATGGCCAATCTACCAGAAAATCCTCTGGTAAGGTAACGTTGGAGGGCAACAGTTGTTACAGATGGGAGGTTTACGTTACTTCTACCCCACGGAGTGCCATGTCTGCATAGTCTCAGGATCATAGGCGTTCGCGAGAAGGGCATCAGACCGAGTTACCAATGAGTGTTTAGAAAAGGCTTTGAAAGGCCGTTCTTCTAGCTTTCGCTGTGACTGTGCTCTGCTTCCACGCAGGCCTGGCATTTCTCACGTTCTTTTTGCTAAAAGCATCTCCGGTTTCTTCCTCGTCGTCTTTTTATCTTTCTCGGCTGTGCAATGGTTGATGTAAGCAGATGTGGTGCATAAAAAAGCCTTTTGACGTGCAAATAAAGTCGGTTGTAAGTCAGCGCTCATCTGTGCTCTATATGTCTTCTTGTCTTCGTCCATGTCGCACTGCGTTTATCCGAGTATGCACAGGGTTACTGATGTGTACTTTTTTTTCATGAAGATGTCTACCAAGAATGCCTCATGCTGCATTCAAACAACAGTTTACTTAAACTGTTGAGTCCCTTGAAGGGCCAGTGAATAGGTTCCGACTTTGTTTTTTATGCCCCCCCCCCCCCCCCAAAAAAAGCACGGCGATTTGTAATGTGGACCACTGCGCTCACGTTTTCCGAATAATACAGCACTGCGCGCCACGCTGAGCCTCCATTAAAAAAAAAAAACAGTTCCCGCTCTCCTCTCATACGCCTTACCAATCTTCCGTTCACGCGCGGTGACGCAAAGTCACTGATCAGCGACTTGACCTAGCACGCAGCTCGTCGGTTGGTTTGAACCAGTCCCCACGACCGGCTGCACCTTCTCCTCATTGTGAGGGAGGAGAAGGTGCACCTGCTTGGTCTTCGGACTGCAGTATGTCTTAAAAAAAATAAAAAAGAAGGGTGGCGAGGCGGCGCGAAAATTTGAAAACAGCTCAAACCGATGTTCTAACACCCGTAACTCCATTTATGTAGCACGTATTTGCAAACCTAATGCAGCAGCATGTGCGCAAAGCAGAAGTGCATATATTTTTTTTTGATAACAATTTTCGGACCTTGGATTGCTTACTGGGCCTTTAAACCCTGGAGAGACAGGAACAGATGACATGCCGCTGCTAGAAGCATATCAATGTTTCATTTTTTTTCTTAAATGCATAGTATAACTTGTTTTCGTTTGAGCTCGATCAAGGGGGGAAGGGGGAGTTTGCAATGACACTTAACCCCCCTCCCTTCACACGCACACTTTCATAGGAGAACTCTTCGCATGCCCATCGGCAGATTGAACTTCGAAGCCCCTCTCGTCATGTCAGTAGCCAAGATAATTTTCAAGCGGGGAGAGGAATGCTGGCACCAATGATAGCCGCAACTATTTGAAAGAAGTACCTGTTTTGAAGTAAACAGCTTCGGTAAAATCGCAGTATGTAAATTTTGTAGTACTGAAAAGGGGTTTTAATGATGATACTATATTGTAAGCTTTCAGATGAATCTTCCTAAGAGTAAACTATTTTGATCCGAACGAATCTGAGGAAGTATACCTGGCCCTCCCCTTACCATTTCGACCGGGTTCATAATGGACATGCATGCCTCTAGTATATTCGTGGTTGTTAAGCCGGTGACGTAAAGTACTTAAAGCAGCATGCAACGTCAGAAAGGACGAAGCTGTGCTCATTTGTTTCGTCTGGAGCGCGCTTCTCACATTCAAGATTGCTCTGGCCGCGCAGTTTGGAAGCAACAACTTCCTTTGCTTGTTTACGCCTTTTTATTGTAGGAGCGTGACTTGTCCCTGCGCCGATAGCTGCACCTTGTTATTCAGACAAGCACCGACCCCGGACTTGCTGAGATCAAGCAAGATTTCGAGGAACGTGTCAAGCGCGAAGGTTTGTCGACAAAGATCAATGAAACCCGATGCTGTATTTTGGTTGGTCCAGCCCAAGTCGAGTGAAGACTCCAATAGGACACTGGTCAAAGCGTCAGTGTGAGCGCTTATACTGGCTATGATGCGAGCTCTGATGCAAGCTCTGAATTAGCTCTGATATGATGTGGTGTGAGCAGGGCTGTGGCCAGCCGGGTGCCCTATGGCCACTCTCCCTAACTTCCACCATTCGAGAAATTCCGAAGGAGGGTCTTCCTCTCAAAAGAAATATTGAAAATAGTTGTTTTTCTATAACAGTTAAAGCCCGCAGCAGGAACCCCAGCCCACTGAAAAATTCCTAGCTGCGGGGCTGAATGTGAGGCATCTGCACTATGTGGTTCATTACATTTATCCAATTAGATGTTTTCAAGCACATAGTTGGTATAATTTTGGTTTGTATTCCTTAAAAAATTAAAAAGAAAACGTTTGAAAAGTATGCTTGCATTATTTAGGAATACTAAACTTTGCACAAGTATAACATATTCGGTGAAAATATACCACCGTTAAGGAAACTCTATCACTCCATCTCTAAGCTTCTTACAAAGAGAGCTTCTAAAAAAACATATATGTTCTCAGGTAAGGTTTAGCAAAACGCCACCAGCCATAAGCAGTATTGTGAATGTCGTAAAACACGTCATTATGGGATGCTTCAGACGTCTGATTTGGAATGTTTCTCGCACAAAATCGTGGTGTGAACATTTCGTGCTGTCGATTTATTATGGTGACTTCGAAACTGGAGCTTTCTTGATTAAGTTTCGTAGACCGTGTGTATTATCGAAGACAAAACTCTCTCCGTGTGACGCTTGTAAATGTGCGCACTATTGTAGAATTTTCACTGAAAGGGGCATCTTGCTTTAGGCGGAGACGAAGATGCAGACTGTTGACACAAGGGCGGGGAAGTTGTCTGGAAGAGAAAACTTTTTGATTGCTGCCCTATACGCGGACTACTCACAGTATAAGTCGAGCAGCACTGTGGTCGCCCCCGGCAGTGAGACGTTGCTTGTCGCCAGGCAAGTTACGTTAGAGTGCAGATCACGGCGAGTCAACGGACCCAGAGTGACGAGGTTCCTCCAGCCACCGTCAGAGGTCGCAACTGTTCCGCGTGACGACCTCATTTGCGTGCCGTTGTGGTACCACGTGAGAGCCACGTCGTGGTCACCTGAAAAAAAAACAAAGCAAAAAGACACGTGACTTCGTGATCACGCTTCGTTAATGTCGAAGCCTTCGACCATTTTTGTATTTTTTTACGACAGAAAGGATGGCCTGTCCTGAACACATTTTTATATATCTAACATCATGACAACGGCTACGGCATAATGGCTAAAACTGCAACGCACTTCTTGGAATTTTTAATGGCGTGAACATTAGTCAGTGGGTTCGCGAACTTAGTCATTTGTACTACCATTCATCGTTGTAAACTTCTTGGCCAGCGTCGAAAACGTCCGATACCCTCTTTATGGCTGCGGACATAGAGTTCTTAATCCAGACAATGCTTTCGGAACAAATGAACCTCTAATCTACTTCTTTTATGAAATAAAGTGCAGTGAAGTTGACTGCTGTTCTTTCCGGAACTTTTTATGTGCAGCAAAGCACACATGAGACGATGGATCACGATAGTGTTAGTCTCGATTATGTGGTTAATTGGACTAACAAACCATTGTACATTTGCATAAATGCTGCTTGGCTGAGTTGCTCTTTAATTAACATACTGTAGTAGCACAAAGTTTCTAACAGAAAGGAAGCTGAAGGAGGAGATGAAAGAAGAGAGGCGCTGTATTACCAAGTGTAGCACACCTCTGTGGTACCTGCCTTTCTTTATTTCCCTTTTCGGTTTCCTCTGTTTTACAAACTGCGTGATACTGCCGTATGATCAGCATTCCAGAGCAGGCACTGACATACAGATTCTATATTGTGCCGTTCAATAATCCAAACATGATAGTTTGTAGTATAAAATAAGCATTCCTAAAGAATACATACACGTCTCTATTTCGCAGGTAAGCCGCGCTGTGTCACCCTCGGCATAAGGGCCTGCTGTTTCCTTCAATGTGGCGCCCCTGATGTCCTTGATGGATGGTGGGCATACCTGCGCTGTTCAGAAAAAAAATAGGGTGCGACTTTTATGGTAGGTCGGCCCCACTTATATTACAAAGATTTCTTGGACCGCAGCTTCAAAAGGCACTCCTGAAAAGGGGCGAATATCTTGGTTAAATATCTCTTAGTGAACAGTGAACTAGAAGAGTGCCATCAGCAGCCATGTGTACTTTTTTTCGAAGTGGAGTATTGTTTCATGAAATGCGGGTAGAACTTTGACATGATTTTGTGCGTGCGAGCATTTTATTGAAAAGAGAAGTCCTGAAAGTGAGCTCTTCATTGCAACGTCATCCTTTCTGTGGCGTAAGTTTGCTGTAGTGCTTTATTTAATTCAGTTTTTTTGTGTGTGGCTAAACTTATGAACATGCAGCAGTGCAGGTGACATGAACAGCGACCTGTCCATAGCAAGCCAGCTAGAAGGAAATGGAACTAAAACGTGCTAAACCAGTGTCGATGACTTTATTCTGTCGTGTAGAACCCATAGCCGCCACATTTCTGCACCGTGGAACGCACCTTAAAATAGGTGACGTGCACGTGAACCTACAAGCCACCATGGTTTCACCGCCAAGCAGGCTCTAAATGGCGGAAGGCAATATTTCAGGATCGTTAATGGAACGTAACACGCGACCATTCTCATTATGGGCAGATTGGCATTGAAGAAACGCTGTTGTGCTTCCAGAACCCATTAACTACATGGCTCGCTCAGGATATCTTTACCTTGAGCATTAACATAGTTCGTACTTGCAAGGAGCTTGTTTTTGGACATGATATGTTTTCCGTTCATTCGGTGGCAGAAGTACGGCACTTCGCTTAAAATAAACAAAACAGGAAAGAATGTCCTACATTAAAGGGACTTACAACTGGCCTCAACGAGTGATTAGATTCTGGTGGAAAGAGAAAAAAGCATAAATTCTGGTGACAGGTGGCAGCATACTAGTCGTGATCTTAGTATGATTTACATTTTTAAATTGCGTTCGAAAGTAACCAAAACCGGCAGGTTGCTCCCCTAGCACTAAAGCCATGAACCACAATTCTAAAGCCCTAAATACTTTGCCGTGAATACTGAAGTGCACCGAAATATGGACTTAAACTAAAATGAACAATTACATACACATTCGAAATTTGTTTCTGTGTGGCTTACACGGTAAAAAAAAAGTACATCACAAAAAGTGGCGCTGATTTCGCGGCCTCTGCAGGCAAACGGGTGCAGTACGTGCAGTTCCGAACGCACGCGGCCGCGTGGCGTTTTCAGAGTAGATTGATTTCTGTCTGGTCGGGCGCTTTGGAAGAAGCGTGCACGCAAACTTGTGAATGCGATCGCTGCGGCACGCGAAATGCCGTCGAACTACTGTTCTGCGGAGAAGTGCTTCATGCGTGCTGCTGGTGGTGGCGATGGCGGTGGTCCATCGGATTCATCACTACCGCTGTCGTCCGTCGAAGCATGTCACTCTGGCGCTGCTTGTTAGGGTCCAAACTTTGCGAAATACGAAAAATAAAAAACATACACTGAGAATGTTGGCCTTTCAGGATATGTAATCGACTGTGAGGAGGAAATGAGAAACGTCAATTGTTTCTTCCTGTGAACCACTGCATTTTTTTTCAATTGAGTGATGAAAAAGGAAATGAATTTATGTTATTTTATGTATGCTCTATTATTTATGCTCTAAATGTATGCTCTAAATTTATGTATGCTCTGTTTCTTCAAGAGCTTATATGTTGCCGGTACCTGCTTTGTGATTCGTCTACTTATATCATATCAACAAATAAAAAGTTCCTAATATGAAATAAATGCGACTATAAAGAAAACAAAAGCAACCAAAAACTTCGCAATATTGGCTTCCGAACACCTTGTTACTTACTATGACTGAACAGCGTGACTGAACGCGACCGGAGTAGAGCACACACACGCACATACACGCGCACGCACGCACACGCACACATACGCGCGCGCACGCAAGCACGAACACGCCTACACACGAGCACGCCCACACACGCGCACACGCCACGCGCTCACGCACGCACACACGAACACGCCCACACGCCCACACACGAACACGCCCACACACGAACACGCCCACACACGAACACGCCCACACACGAACACGCCCACACACGAACACGCCCGAACACGCACACACGAACACGCCCGAACACGCACGCCCGAACACGCACACACGAAAACGCACACACGAAAACGCCCACACGAAAACGCCCACACGAAAACGCACACACGAAAACGCCCACACGAAAACGCCCACACGAAAACGCCCACACGAAAACGCCCACACGAAAACGCCCACACGAAAACGCCCACACGCAACGCCCACACGAAACGCCCACACGCGCACGTCCACACGCGCACGTCCACACGCGCACGTCCACACGCGCACGTCCACACGCACGCACACACACGCACGCACACACACGCACGCACACACACGCACACGTCCACACGCACGCACACACACGCACACACACACACGCACACACACGCACGCACACACACACACGCACACACACACACACGCACACATACACATACACACATACACATACACATACACATACACACATACACATACACACACGCACACACACACACACAAAACAACGCTGTTGAACCACTGCAATTATGATGTATACTGAAAAGTGCACCATTCTGGACTCCTCAATAATTGCCCTACCTTGGCTAAAGAAATGAGTATGGATCCGTTCCAGCGATGCCCGGCCAGCTTCCTGCATCTTAGTTTTTTTCTACTGACTTAGCGAACGGGCACACTGCTACCGTACTTCACGTTTTATGAAACCGCAGCTGAAGCCGGAACAAGTGTTATCGCTTGGACAGCCTCCATAACTCTGCCGGGCAGCGCTCGTTTCAAGTGAAGCGGCCCTCGACACTGTGTACTAGGTAGTTGTAATATGCCCGTCGCCCACTTTTCAATCCTGCCATTATTTATCATCGGTAGCTGTTACTGGCTGTGCAGTTTGAAGGTTCAGCATTGAAAAAGAAAAACCTGTTCGAGAAAGTTTGTGCAAGGCTTCATTTGTCATTTTAACGGTGCTACCTTTTGACGTGCGAGTAATCTTGCCGGAAGGCTGTACTACGAGCTCTTAGCATGCACCTATTTGTATATTAATATCTCAATCATTCTGTGATACATAGAGAGCTGCATCTCTTAGAAAAAAAACTGGCACCTCAGGACTTCAAATAGTTTCGCATCCATCAATGCATCGATGCAGTGTTATGAGGCGTTTTTGTCAATCGTTCATTGTCTTCAGTACTATTTATAGGAACGTATATTTGTAATTTAAGTTTGATTTCTGACAAGACTCACGAATACTATGCGGACCTACAGGATCTGATATTCACATGTGCGATAATCGAATGTTTGAATACTCGGGTGAAGTTCCTTGTAGGCTTGTAGTTTGGGACCCTTGCCTGTATATTTTACACCTTTTAACATCCTTTTATATCACGATAACAAAAACTGATTGATTGAGGTGTGCACTACTCAGTTGCCTGCAGTACAGATTAGAAGTGCTGAACAGGGAGCTATAGACAGCCTGCATGGGGAACATGGTCGCAATTTTTTTCTGATTGAAGAAGCTCAGTTCAGTGACTAATTCGATGTATTAAATACGCTTTGTGCAGTAAATGTGTCTCATTACAAATCGAAGCAACTGTAACGGGCACATCAAGTTTTCCGGTTTATTTTGCGAAGGTTTCATGTTTTCGTTGAAGTATTATGCTAACTTTGTAGTTGCACGATAGTGAGAGCTAAAATAGTGTCGGCTTGTTTGGGCTTGTAGGTCTAAGGTTTGTTTTATAGGAGACGTTGAATTTCCGCGAAGGTGCAGCTATGAGGTACTGAAATGGCTTGTTTTCCCCAGTTCTTTATAATCAGCCCAAACTGTAGTGCATTAGAAATTGCTCTACGGCTGCACTACTGTAGATCTCCAAGAATGATGTACAATTCGGGCATTAAACTCAATGTCTACTCCTACTCCAAGATTGTCGACGTTTGTAAACGTGTTTATTACTGCAGGAGTCACTCGCTGGTTTACTTC